ACCTGTGCCACCATATTGACTGGAAGTCCCCAAAAAGTTATCTGGGGTCAGTGTTATTTTTTTTAAAGGTAAAAAAATTAATCCAAGCATTGCATACTGTTCTGGTAAATGGTGTTGCTTGGATATCCAAAAGTCATTTTCTCTTTAACTAGTAGAATTAAAAGGGGAGGAAATTTTCCTTCTCTAGCATCAATAGAAGGAAATGGAAATCTAGAAGGTAAAAATCTAGGTAGATTACAGTTCTTTTTCCCTGGAAGTGGAGCATCCAGGTAGACAAATACCTAGCATTTGGTTAGTTTTCATCTTGGTCAGCATTCTACTTTTACTGTAATAATGTAAACTGTCAATTGTAAACCAATGCCAGTTAATAGTTTACCTAGTAAATTATCTGGGATACTGCCAAAGGAATAACTGCCTGTTTTCTTATGCTATATGCATATAATCATTATGTTAAATGTCTGTCTCTAAATATCTGTCCACATAGCTTCTTTATTATTTTCAACCCTCTTTTCAAATATCATTTAAAAGGGGATTTTCCTTACCACTCTGTATAGACTAGGAACACTCCCCACCCAATCTTCTTTACTCTCCTTTTCCTTCTTAATCTTTCTCAATAAAACTTAGTCACCTGGCATAAGTTGTGTATACTGTCCCTCATTTTCCTCCCTTTCTCCCCATCAGAAAGTAAACTCCTGCAGGGCAGGGCTTTTGTTTTCCACCGCTGTATTCCTGACACTTAAGGATGTTCTCTCACTTTCAGTGGCTCTGTGTCCACAAGCTGCTTTAGCCAGATTACCTAAAGTACTCAATTGATACTTGGTTTTTACAAATAGTATTTTGTGCATACTTCTTCCCAGTTTAAATGAGTGTGAAAAGGTATAGACATGTCTTCCTCTCATCCTCATTAAGTGGTTTTAATTTAGCATAGTTATCTTTTCTTACTAAGGCCTCAAATTTTGCTTTTTTGCCAATATCCTTATTGGATATTTAATTTCTAGGTTTACCCATAGTGTACAAGCAACAAGGCTGATAACCTTTTAATACAATAGAAATTCTTCTAATTTCACAACAGAAATACATGTTGGGCACCAGGCAAAATATACACTCAAAGGACAGTGAAGTGATTGCCGGTACAGCGAAGCCACGTGTCACTAGCCTGAGTCCAAGGCACAACTCTTTGACCAGTCTCCCAGCTTTGTCAGTCTTTGGACCCAACATCACCTTCAGCAACCCACCTATCCTGAACATTTGCCTGTTGGAGCCTTTAAGAATGCAAAGTTAATGGTTGTTAATTGGTGTAATTCATACACCATAAAATTCACCTTAAACTGTAAAATTCAATGGTTTTTAGTATATACACTATTTAATCCCAGAACATTTTCATCAAAAAGAAATACTATACCCATAAGCAGTCACTTCCTATTCCCTCCCTCCCTTAGTCCCTTGGCAACCACTAATGTGCCTTCTGTATCTATGGCTTTGCCTGCTCTGGATATTTCATGTAAATGGAATCATACAATACAGGGTGCGGCGGGAGTTAACACCTGCTTGAGTATGGTTGGTAAGGTAGTAATATGGGTGTAATAATTTATAGTTTTAATTTGAGCATTTCACCTAAAATGTCATGTGGTGTGCTTGAGTGATGTTATGTTACAGAATTCCATGCTTACGATTTTGTAATAAAAGATTTTGCAATAAAAAAAGGGGGGCGTTATTTGTGCCGTACCCTCTATTTGGTCTTTTGTGCCTGGCTTTTCATTTAGCATAGATGTTTTCAAGGTTTACCCATGTTGTGTCAGGACTCTATTCCTTTTTATGTCTGAATAATAGTCCATTGTATGGAATGCCACATTTCATTTACACATTTATCAGTTGCTAAGACATTTAGGTTGTTTCCACTTCGGGGTTATTAGGAATAAGACTTCCATGAACATTTCTGTTAAGTTTTTGTGTGAACATGTTTCCTTTCTCTTGGTTATTTACCTAGGAGTGAAATTACTGGGTCATACAGGAACTCTAAGTAAACTGAGGAACTATTAGGCTGTTTTTCAAAAGTGTATACACTATTTTACATTCCTACCAGCAGTGCGTCTATGAAAGGACGAGGTTTTCCACATCCCTACTAACAGCTGTTACTGTCTTTTATTATCATTGTATAATGGGGGTGAAGTGGCATCTCATTGTGGTTTTGATTTGCCTTCCTCTGATGGCCAATGAATCTTAGATATTTTCATGTGTACATTGGCCATTTGTAGATCTTCTCTGGAGAAATGTCTGTTCAGATCCTTTGTCTACTTTCAAGTAGGTTGTCTTTTAATTATTTTAAGAGTTTTTTACATATTTCAGAAACAAGTCTCCTATCAAATTTGCAAACTATTGTTTTCATTCTGTGGGTTGTCTTTTTACTATCATGATGGTATCTTTCAAAGCACAAAAGTTGTTCATTTTGATGAAGTCCCAATTTATCTTCTCTTTGATAGCTTTGGGCTTTAGGTGTCATGTTTTAAAAGACTACTGCCTAATCCAAGATCATGAAGATTTACCCATATGTTTGCTTCTAGGTGTTTTATAGGCTTATCTTTTAGATTTAGGTCTTTGACCCATTCTGAGTTAATTTTTACTTATGGTATTGATAGAGGTTCATTGTCATTCTTATATGTAGTTCCAGAACAATTAGTTTTAAAGACTATTCCTTTCCCCACTGAATTGTCTTGGCATCCTTGCTGACAATCAAAAGACCATCAATCTATGGGTTTAATCCTGGACTCCCAGTTCTATTCCATGAATATAAATGCCTATCCTTAGGCCAGTACCCACACCATCTTGATTACTGTGGCTTTTACAGTAAGTTCTGAAATCAGGCAGTGTGAGTCATTTTAACTTTGTGCCAAGATAATTTTGAAATTGAGTTTAACTTAGTGAAATAAAGACAAGATGAGGACTTTTCTTCAGAACAAGTCTAAGCAGGCCCCACACTAACCTATTTCTTAAAACAGAATGGCTCTCTAGACTTACCCAGCCAGATTCGCTTTAGTCCTTCATTTATTCAGCAGTGATTTTAAGTTTTTATAGCAACATAACTGTGATCAGTGTTGACAGTTGGATAATGTAGAGGAACATCTAGTGTCTAGGAGATAGTTTTGAAAATCATTTCATCCTAAGTGGGAGTAGTGATGGTAGGGATGACACTCCCAAGAGATGTTAGAGGTAGAATTTTTAGGATTTGCAATGGGTAAGTTATGGTTGGTAAAAAAGAATAAGGGATTGCAGACACGTATATTTCTAGATAAGTAATGATGGGTAGATGTAGTTAGGGAAGTAGATTGTGATGGGCAGAGTAAAGATACTATCATCTGTTCTTTCAAGAGGAGAAAACAGTTATGAGAAGGTTGATTGTTTCTGTTTTGTCGGTTGTGTTTTAGGATGGGGGAAAACTTGCTGTCTGAGGTAAAAATTGAAGATGTGATGGGTAGTTTATCACTTTAGGTCCCAAAAGAAACATAGAACAAAGCCAATTTTTTCCTTCTAAGTCAGCAAGAGAATGGATGATTCTTGATGATTGATATTTTCCCTGGAGCTAAAGTTGGGAGGTGGGTTAGGGAACTATGGAACTTAAGTTTAGTGGAACTTAAGTTATGGAACTTAAGGGTAGTGAAGGGTTGGAATAGCCACTGAGAAATGTAGATAAAATAACAAGGAAACAAAAGTAGGAATGAAAAAGACATGACAGGGGATCAGTTCAGAAAGTCCAACAGCTAAATATCAGTTCCTGAAAGAGCAGTGAAAATGGGAGAAGGGGGTTTACTAGTGAAATAATTCAAGAAAAGTTCCCCCTCATGAAACACAGAAGTTTCCAGACTGAAAGTACCCAATACAGTACTTGAATCAATGTGAAGACATGAATAACTAAAAGTTTGCAGAGAAAAGAGAGCAGGTCACAAAGAAAAAGGATCATGAATCAGAGTGGCTTCAGGTTTTTCAACAGCAACATCAGAAGCAAGACAACTGAGCATCACCTCCCAATTCCTGGCAGGAAATTATTTTCAGCCCATAATTGTATATGTAGATAATCAACTTTGTAGGGGAAAAAAAAAGAGATGTTCAGGCATTCAGGGTACAAAAATGAAGGAATTTAGCCAAGACAGAGGAAAAAATAGTAGAAACAAATGGGATGGGACAGGACTACTCTTTTCATCAGAGATCTTGTGGTACTAGTTAACTGCAACTTTTACACGTTAACACTTTAAAAGTGACTAGGCCACCAAAAAAAGAAAAAGTAATAAAGTGAATGGGCCATAATAATGTGAATGTATTTAATGCCACTGCACTGTACATTTTAAAATTACTAACATGGGTCCTGGCAGGGTAACTAAGTTGGTTAGAGTGTTGTCCCGAAAGGCCAAGGTTGCAGGTTTGATCCCTGGTTAGGGCACATACAAGAATTAACCAGTGAAAAAATAAATGGAACAAATTGATGTCTGTCTCTCCCCCTGCCCATAAAAGCAATAAGTAAATTAAAATTATTAACACAGTATATCCATTTACTACAAGTTAAAAAAAATTTTTAAGTGAAAGCTAGAAATAGCCAGCCCACACAACTCTTATAAAGTTTAGCTGTATGGGGTTGATAAAGGACCACAGTTGAGGGGTGGAATGGGGAGCCATATAAAACCTCTGTACTATCCCCTTGGAAAGTCTACTAAATTTAGAGTCAGAAAATCTAAGAATGTTATCTAAGGTGTACTAGAACATGCACAGTAGGAATTTGGCTCCTATGGACTGGACCAAACTGGCATGGCTTAAAATTCTTCCTGGGATGCTTCTGGGGCCTTTGTGTTTACTTTCCCATCTACAGCAGTTCTCCCAGAACCTCGTATAAGAAAAACAGCTTTGATGATGGATTAGTTTTTCACCATTTAAGTACTTTGACCAGTAGCCTATGAATAAATGTTTAATTCAGAAAAATAAATGTAGCCTAAACATACCTCTTTCTCTTGCAGTGTGAACTTCTTGCCTAAGGACTGGAAAGACTAAGTAGTTTGAAAATGGAAAACCAAGAACCAGCGGATTCTTCTCGAAAAACCAAACAGTGTATTATTTCAGAGGAGGTATAAATTGTTTTTCACTCCCCTTTCCCCTTCCCACATAAAATTAAGTTTCAAAGAAATGTATTTGTTGTTTCAAATAATTAATTATTAAAGACAGTTTTTAAACATTGTTCCTACTGCCTTTTTAGGACTTGGGGACATGGTGAGCTTGTGTGGTAGCAGCAGTGTATGCCACTTTATTATATGTATTAGTGAAATTGAGACTTTTAAAAGCGGACTTTGGCTGATGACACAAAACTTCTCAATTTTTATGAAAAGTTTCCCTGGGTAGTTGAATAAATCATGTATGAGTTTTAGGGCTTAGACATTTCAGACTTAGGTGTCACATCTTAATTAGCTCTTTATCGTCTCATATGTGTAAGAACAAGAAAAACCTAGCTTTTTAGTTGTAGTCTAAATTCCAGGACACATGTGTGTCTTGTATGTTATTCAGCTTAGCTTTTAAAAAATCCCTTCCTGTAGGGACCATTGCAGTGGATAAATTTTAAATCCTTCATCTTGGAATTCTGATCTTGACATCTTTCTCCAATTCTTTTTTGATTTAAAAACCTCCATGTGGCCCAGTAAGGTCTGGGCTCTGCTGCAGCAACAGGGTGCCCTTCCAGGCTAGGCCAGGCAGAGTGGCAGTCAGTGCCCACAGGCCCTCAGGAGGCTGCAGTTAGGGCTGCGGAGGAGCCTGGCTGCCCCGGGCAGAGGTGGCTCTGTAAATGGGCAGGGGTTGGGGGAGGGTTGCCCAGTGGCCCAGGATGGCGTGCCTCCGGTCCACACTGTGGCTGGTCCAGGGCACTGCACAAAGGCAAAGGCTGCAGGTGTGAGGGACTGTGACTAAAGAAGATTGAAGGCCATGGATGAAAATGGATTTGAATTACAATCACAAGAACCGAACTCATTCTTTGATGCAACAGTTTTTCAGAACACTTTCGACACATTTCTCACTTATCACAACAGTCCTGTGTAGAGCTGGTGCTACACATGGATGATGACCAAATTGTTGTGGAAGTACAAGAAACAATTTTTGTTTCAGATGTTGTGGATTCAGACATAACTGTGTATAACTTTGTTCCTGATGACCCAGACTCAATTGTAATCCAAGATGTTATTGAGGATGTTATTATAGATGTTCAGTGCCCAGATAGGGAAGAAGCAGATGTAGCTGAAACAGTCGTCATTCCTGAGCAAGTGCTAGACTCCAATGTAACTGAAGAAGTTTCTTTAGAACATTATGCCACCCCAGATGTTTTAGCTTCTGATATTACTGCAGAATCAATGTCTGTATCAAAATACATATTGACAAGTGAATCTATACATGTGTCTGATGTTGGACACATTGAACATGTGGTTCATGATAGTGTAGTAAAGGCAGAAATCATCCTTGACCCTCTGACAGAAGATGTATTGATAGTTCCAGAATTAGTATTGGTAATAGATTGTGCCTCTGAAGCAGTCATAGATGCCATCGGGATCCCTGTGACCAGCAAGATGATGATAAAAGCAACTGTGAGAACTACCTTAATGATTTCCTTCAATGATGCTGGTAAAATAGAACATGACAGTTCCTCTGGAATGAACTTGGATGCAGAGTGAGAAATCAATACTTGTAAAGTGGATGACACTTGTCCTGAAGTCATCAAGGTGTACATTTTTAAAGCTGACAATGGAGAGAATGACTTAGGTGGCACTGCAGACATTGTGGAGAGTGAACCTTAGAATGATCATGGAGTTAACATGTGCCAAGGGAAAAGATGGTTTATGTGACAGTCAATGACTCTCAGGAAGAAGATAAACATTTAAATATAGCTGAAATTGCTGAAGTTTATATGGAAAAAAATGATTGTAGGAGAAGAGGATGCGGCTGCAGCAATGGGAGCAGCGGCCACACATGAACAGCAAATCAGTGACATGAAATTAAAACCTTTATGCTAACGGCGTGGGCAGCAGCTTACGGTAATAACTCGGACGGAGTTGGAAACTGGAATGGCACTACTAGTGCCCTCTTGCACATAGGTGAGTCGCTGAGCTCGAGATAAGACCTGATTCAAGGCAGTAGCAAACAACAATAATTGGCCCTGGTGGACATAGCTTGACTATGTATCCGTGCATGATTTGTATGAAAACTTTGTCAAGAGGTTTTTTTGAAAAGGCACATGAAAAACCATGCTGAATACCTTGCCAAGAAGAAGTACTGCTGTACTGACTGAATACACTACCAACAAGAAAATAAGTTTACACAACTGCCTAGGGAGCCACAGCTGACCAGCAAGACAAAAGGCCATCAAATGGGATGAATGTGGGAAGCATTTCTCTCACGTGGGGGCTTTATTTACTCACAAAATGATAAGGAAAAAGGAAGCAAGAAAATGCAGTTTACAGCAAGAACTTTCCTCAGTATTTGCGTGGAGTGTGGTAAAGGTTTCATCACCCATCCAAGCTCAAAAAAAACACTTGCAAATTCTGGGGAAAAGTCGTATCAATGCCAGTACTGCAAATACAGGTCTGCAGACTTGTCTAAATTGAAAACGCATGTAAAAACTAAGCATAGTAAAGAGCTCCCATTCAAGTGTGAAATTTGTCTTTATACTTTCTCAGATATCAAAGAGGTGAGTAGCATGCTCTTATTCACCAAGAAAGCAAAACACATCATAGTTAACACTGCAACCACAAGAGTTCGAACTCAAGTGATTTGAAACAACACAATTTCAGTTCACATGAAGTACTACCCCCATAGAGTGTGATGTGTGATAAAGGTTTTCATAGGCCTTCAGAACTCAAGAAACACATGGCTGCCCCCAAGGGTAAAAAACTGTACCAGTGTAGACATGGTAACTTTAAGATTACAGGTCATTTTGAAGTTGCCATATTCTCTTGGTTCACAAAGTTCTTCTGTTTAGGTTCAAGAGATGTAGAAAAGTATTTAAGCAACAAAATGAGCTTTAAAAAGCGTATGAAAACACGGTGGCAGGAAAGTGTATCAGTGTTAGTACTGTGTGAGTATAACACAACAGATGCCTCAGGCTTTAAATGGCACCTTATTTCCGCTCATACACAGCACTATCACAGCTGTGAGTACTGCAAGAAAGGGTTCCAAAAACTTTTAGGGAAAACGCCGGTATTTAATGCATCATAAAAAAGGGAGCCTGCCCTAACAATACTTCCATAGATGTTTGTGGAGATGTTGGCCTCGAAGCAAAGAATTCATTTTAGAGCCAATCAGTCTTGTCCACATACAGTACTGTATATTGACTTATGCTGTGTACAAGTAGACTGTTCCCTCTAATTGACATTTTTTTTTACATTTTGTTCAATAGTGTGTTCTGAATTCTATTCAACTTGTTTAATCAATGGGGAAAGGCAACAAGCAAATTGCTTTTAACGAAGTAATCCTTGCCTCTCCACTAAAATTTTCTTTTATTAGTTTTATATTTATTTATTTACCTTGCTTACCATGATAGTACTCTTTTAAGACCACTTAACCTAAAGCTAGGGTAACTTACGATTGCGTCAATATTACTTTCAGAGTAACCATCCCCTGCACCTTCCCCCAAGTAAACTTCTCACAATAAAATTGTCAGAAACATCTACTAACATAAGTGGGAGGCTTAACCTTCAGGTATAATTATACTAACACAGAAGTCATTTACTTTGTTTTGCTTATTAATCTTTTCAGACCGCATAACAATGAAAGTTTTCATTTGAGCTTTTGCATCCGTGGCATCGCTGAATAAAGAACAGTAGCTGGGTTTGTTTACTTTTTGTTTTCTTTTTTTAAGACTTTATTTTTAGAAAGAGGGAAGGGAGAAAGAGAGAGGTAGAGAAACACTGATGTACAAGAGGTATGTTGATTCTTGAATGCCCCCAACTGGGGACCTGGCCCGCAACCCAGGCATGTGCCCTGACTGGGAATCAAACTGGCGAACTTTCAGTTCACAGGCCAGCACTCAGTCCACTGAGCCACACCGGCCAGGGCTACTTTTCATTTTCTTTATCAGCGAGAATATACTTTTGGTGGCCTTTCTTTAAAGTATTTACATCTTATATCAGCAAACTTTTAGAAAACTATTGAAAAACTTTGCTTGATCCTGTTGTATTTTGATTACTCTTCCTGTGCTTTGTCTTGGAATGGTTGCGTGCTACAAATGAGGCTTACTGAGAACTGCATTTTGGAATCTCCTAGAGCAGGGGTCCCCAACTCCTGGGCCACAGACCAGTATCTGTCCGTTGCCTGTTACAAACTCCAGGACACACAGCAGGCGAGCAAGAAAGCCTCATCTGTATTTACAGCCATTAGCACTGGAGAGTGGCTGCAAATACCAATTATCATTAGCGGAGAGGTTTGACTGGATATAGAACATAATAAATCAATTGCTTGCAAACTCCTATCAAAACCCTATCAGTGGCAAGTGACAATTGAGCTGCATCTGGTAGTAGGCTATAAAACCATTCTCCACTCCCACCCCTACCCCACCGGTCCATGGAAAAACTGTCTTCCATGAAACCGCTCCCTGGTGCCAAAAAGGTTGGGGACCGCTGTCCTAGAGGATCTTTTGCAACTTTATATATGTAAATGTAGCCTGAATTATGTATGTTCATATATATAACATGTGTCTGTTTGTTGCTTATCTTACATATTTATACACACAACCCCAACTAGTAGTTTAACATCTATAATGAAAAGTATTAAGCCAGGGCAAGCATTTAGTATTTTAAAAACATAGTTCTGGCTCAAAGTTAAAAATTCATAAAATAAGCACAGTTAATTAGAATTTGATAATATGAAGATAAATTTTGGAGAACAGAAAACTATTTGGGGTCCTTAAATTAGCTATCAACACATTTGTGTACCTGCACCTCGTGGGAGATTTAGGACTTTTCTGCCCCCTTGATAGCTGCCTTGCCCTTCATTATGGCGCCCCATCCTCTTTGCACTTTTAGGTTTTTACCTTTCCTCTTTCTCCTTGCCGTTGATATCTGTATTCAAGAGATTACAGGGCTAGAAATCTAAACATTGGGTGTTTGGCAAGCCTTTGAAATGCTGGATTGATTTAGTCCAGTTCTAAATCAAGTGCTTTAAGTGGAAAAACTCCAACCTGAATGCCAGTCAGAACCAAGGCCTGGGCCCTTCCCAGAGGGAACCTTCTGTGCCCTGTTGGTCCACATGATGTGCTTTTTAAAAATGTAGCCTAAAATTGTGTGCTTCATTGCCCTGCAGTACTACTCCTGAAAGCTCTGTTTTTTCGTGAGAACCTTTAAAATCTTCATTTTTATTTTTCCCAGTGGTAATGTAAAACAAGTAAATGCAAGTGGAAATTTTTTAAGTTTTTAACATCCTATAAAACTAATACAGACCATATAAATAATTAGTCATCTATGTTTTTAAAAATAAACTGAAAGATAAACAACACAGAATTTTACACATTTTGTATGTGTCTTACATAGTTTGGCACCAAACAGTTCTTTTTAAAGCACAATATTGAAACTTTAAAAGGTACTGAAGGGTTTGGCCAAGTGAATATGATACAATGTATTTGTCTATATAAAGAGAAAATGAAATTCTAGTCTCTGTTATATACTGACATTAGTTACAACCTAGTGTTTATTCTTAAATTTGATTAGCAAAGCTAAAAAGATAGATGTTTAGATGTTCAGTTAAATGTTTTAAAGAGGTACAGATTTTTACAAGGACATAAGTTATTGCACTGTAGAAATAGCCTATTAAATATTGTATGTCCCTCCCTCTGTACACCTTGTAAAAAAAGTAAAATACATAAAAAGAATCATATAGGGATGTAAAGCATTACTGTAGTTGTGTACTTGAGAATAGCATGCAAAAATAAAAATCAGAGTATTTTCCTGTTAAAAAATAATTATAAATCTCTCCATGTTATCTGTGACTAGATCTGCTGGGAATTAGTCGGTTGTTTCTGTTGGATATTAGTAGGTGGTTTCTGGTAAGAAGTGAAAGACAGGATTGTGGGAAGCATCTACTGCTCTGTGTACACAGTGACACTTTCCTGTTAGTGCAGTGTAGTGCCATGGTAAGTTAGTCCTGGGAACCTGAAGTCCTCAACGTCTAGGCAGAATGATGCTGAAGGTTTACTCAGATTGGGTGGGAAACCCATGTGTCATTATTAGAAATCCAGTCATTGGACATGGTTTCCCTATAGTCAACTTTGTTGTGGAGACATTGAAAGTAAAATGCCACTGATGAGTTCCCATACTAAACATATACACCTATGTGACTAGCACCCAGATCAGAGGCCAGAATGAGAAGCATCCCAGAGAACCCATCACTCCTCTGTGCTCCCTTCTAGGCTTCCCTCCCCACTCCACCCCCAAAAGTTCTCGACTGTTACTTCTTTTCACCTCTCAGTACTTCCTCCAATACTCCAAATAAAAGCAGAACCACCCTTCAGAACAACTTTAAAAATTTTTTTTGTAAAGATTTTATTTACTTGTGGGAGAAGAGAAGGGAAGGAGAAAGAGAGGGAAAAAAATGTCAATGTAATGCCCTCAACTAGGGACCTGGTCCACAACCCAGGCATGTGCCCTGACTGGGAATCAAACTGACAACCTTTCGGTTTGCAGGCCGACGCTCAATCCACTGAGCCGCACCAGCCAGGGCAGAAAAACAACTTTTAATACTCTAACCTGAAAACTTGCACATGAATTATTGGAAGGAAAACATGATATCTGGGAGGGCCAGACAGAGAAAATGGGGGGGGGGGGCAGGGGGTGGACTAAGTAAAAACTCAATTTGAAAGTTCCCCAATGTATGTATTGTCTGATCTCCTTTTAGTTAATATCAGAAGGAAAATGGGTCAAGTTTGAAAAAACAACTTACATGGATCCTACTGGTAAAACAAGGTAAATATATGTTTTCTTTTGTAAAATACTTGGTATTGGGGGTTCTCACATTCTCTATTTAGTGTTTGGCATAAACTTTGATATTCCCCTCATTGTAAACTCTCTAACTTAAGAATTCAGTTTAGCTGTTTTTCCATTGTTAGAATGTTTGAATCACTTATAATCTCCGAATAAAATTTTGTTGTAAACTTCTTACAGTAACTAGTCAGGAAGCTCTTTCAACACCATTCTCCCCAAATTGATTAGTGTGAACCTAAAACTTGTTTGACAAGCCTAATTTAAGTTGATAAAGCAGCAAAATAATTAACAGTACAGGTTCCTTCCTTCTAATTTAACCAATTCTAATCTCTGTATTAGAATTAAAGATGAAGCATTTGAGGTAAAAGTTACATGCTTATACCTTGCTTGTGGATATGTAAATTGGGGGGGAAAAGTTATGTAAAGCATGTCACAAATATGTATCAACTGCTATGAAGATATGGCGTGGGGAGGGGATTAGGTAGCTGTTTGGGGCCAGGTCACCATGGGGTCTGAGGCTGTCCTAAGAGAACTATTTGAAATCAGATTTATGCCTGGGGAAAATGTTCATAAAAATTTTAAAAGGCAAAAATAAACTGAAAGCAACCTAAACATTCTAAAAAGAGAGAAATAATTGTTACAGTGTACTCATTTGATAAAATCTATGCACCCATCTACAAAGATTATGAAGACAACATAGAAATATGAGAAAAGTTAGTAAAAATTGATAACAAAGTGGGAAATTGTGTATATGGCTTTTTAAATTCTGACAAATGTGTAAGAAAAAGCTAGAAGGAAAACTAAAAAAATATTAATGGCAGCTGTGTGATTAACTTTTCTTATTCAGGTGTCTGTTCAGTAATTTTTTTATGAGTACCAAAAAATATATTAAAATAGATGAAGGATTTACTTAGTGAAATATGAAAAGGAATAAAACAGAATGAGAAAATATAAAAATGTAACTAAATTTAGTATCTAGAGTATATGATATAAATTCATTAATATAAAAACACCATTTAAGTAATCAAATAAGAATACAGAGTTTCTTTGTGAGGAAATACATCTCTCATCAGTGCCAAATTACATGGACTTACCAGTAATTGAAACAGTGTTTGATTATATCTATTAAACTAGCAAAAACATTAAGATGGCCCAATGTGGGAGAGCTGGGGGAAGCATTAAGATGTCTATAGCACTGTTAAATTTAAAACCCAAAAGAAAGCCAAGCACACTACGATCCAACAACACAGAGGAATAATATATTACCTATTTATTTAAAGTGAGTTTGATGTATAGAACTAAATACGAACTAAGTAAGGGATTCGGAAATGTGGCAAGGCCTAAACTGTAGGGAGCAAATATGTTCAAATGTACTTAATTATTTGTGAAACTATGGACAGAAATTAGAACCCAATTTAGTGATATCATTTGGTTCTCTTCCCTTATAAAGTTGTTTCAGTTTATAACACAAAATAAAGCCCTTAACACTAGTTAGTCTGAGGAGCATATGCTGGTTTGCTCATCTCTTCACCTCACTCTTCCTCCCCTCCAGCATTGTAACTGGGATGTGCATCACAATCTTTCAAGGATTATTTTCAAAGTACTCATTATTAGGTCCTGCCTTTTGGAAGCAGGCTCTAAAGTCTACCAAACTGCCATACTTACATGGCCTAATTACAGCATGTTCTCCTCCAGTCTTCCTTGCAGCCTCTAAAGAAGTCTTCCATGAAGCGCTGACATTTCATACAGAATATCTAGCTTGAAAGAATGAAAATCTGTACTTTACAGTAGGCTATGGTTTATAAATTTATAAAATGTTTCCTCTTTTACCTGATATAAAAGCATGTACATAAGGATAAATAAAATAGCAGCTAGAGAATGTTTTCACTGTCTTATTCATGGAACAGGCTATGGAATTAATTTCAAAAGTATGCCAGCATTATGCACCTTTATTGACCTTCAGGACAGAACTTCTGGCCCTTCCAACCTCGTGTGTGTGTTTGACTAGAGGGAAGAAAGCAAAATCAGCTTTCTTATAACAGAAGCTAAATAATGGAGTAACTTTAGAATCAGACTTTAAAGCTAAAAGAAGCTTGTGAAATAACATACTCTTAGCTCCCTAGTTTTACAAATGAAGAGTCTTGAGGAGGTTGTGTCTATGGAGTTAGCTCATAAGTAAGTGGAGACTAAGATTTTTCTCACCAATCCAATGTACCTCTCTCAGATTCTCTTTAAGATGACCAGAGCTCTCCTGGGGTGTTCTTATTCTAGTGTTTCCTGTAGACGCATTTATATTTTATTGCTCATAACTCATGGCTCATTACTGCTTATTTACCTCATCTTAACCACTATAATGATGCTATTCTTTTTGTTTCCCTTATTCCTAGTGTATTTGGGATGGGACCTTCAGTGCTTTCCCCAGCACTGTCTTCAGTCTTTAGGACTAACCTTAAGAGGCAGCAGAGAGAGCCATACCAAAAGGTGTTTTGTCTCTTGCAATATGTATTACTGACTTCTCAGAATTGCTTGTTGGTTGGCTTCTTGCTACTAACAGGAATGTTGGGCAGCTCTGAGTTTTTATAGTAACCTGTTTGATTTTCATAGGTTCATTTTGCAAGATTTGCCCTATAGAATTTGGGTTCAGTACTGAAAGATCTGCAGTTTACAGAAAGTTTATTTTTAACTAGATTTAATATCTGAATTTTTTTTAATAGAAATATGGCATGATCCAAACCTTAAGGACAACCAGATAAAAAGTGTTAAGAGTTCCTCCAAGTAGTATATCTTAAAATCACTGGTACTGTAGGGAGACAGATGTTGATGCCTTTCTTATACCATTCAGGTGTCTTCCCTTAGATCCAAAATTATTTCCTTCTTCACTCCCATCTCTTACAACTGCTGCTGCTTCTTTTTTTTCCCCTCCCATTTAAGGAATGAGAGTGGAGGGGGAATTTCTCTCATCTGCCCTCCCCCCTGCAAACATGTCACAGTAACTGGATTTTCAGTACAGTGCTCCCCTGAAACAAATAGCTAATCAAGGGTAAAGCCATAAATAGGAGCAGGAACCTGCTGTTGCCTCATTTTCCCCTTAGATAAAATGTCACACAAGCAAAGTAGAGCACTCTCCTGAATTTAAGAATTTCTCAGTTAATAAATAGGAAGGTCCTACTTTCTTAAATCGTATATTTTAGGTCACAGATTTTAAAATCTAAGTTGTATAAATGACTAATTCACTAGTTTTCATTAGGCAGAGTATCCCTTTTCAGGAGGGGCTTAGTGTGCATAAATTGCTTAACATCTTCAAAAGCTGTAGTCAACAGCTGTGCTGCTCCCCTGTAGATTTATGATCTGAAACTAAAGTATGTCAGGTAATTGATCTGAAGGGCAGCTCAAGTGACAGCACCAAGAGGGCTAAATGCTGGATGGCAGGTTTTCTTATTTTCAGCTGTTAACACAGAACAATGGGCTTTTTGTTTAAATACAGCTCCTTATTTATTGCCGTGGGGGGGTTTATTACTGATTTTGGAGTGAGAGAGAAACATCAATTTTTTTGTTTCACTTCTTTATGCATTCACTGGTTGCTTCTTGTAGTTGTCCTGACCAGGGATCGAACCCACAACCTTGGTGTTGCATATTGGGATGACGCTCTAACCAACTGAGCTACCCTGCCAGGATGTATTGCTGTGGTCCTGTTTGACCATTACCATTAGCACATTTGCATGCTTTGCATTTGTAAAGTTCTGGCTATACACACAAAACTTAAGAACATTCTCCTCCTGGGCACTAATTTTTATTTTTCCTTCTCTGCCTGAATAGAACTTGGGAAACTGTGAAACGTACAACGAGGAAAGGACAGTCGGCTGATGGTAATGAGTGCAAACCTATTAAAACTCTTCCTAAGAGAAGTTACCACACATTATTATAGTAGGCTAGGGGGCGGAGGGTTTTTCTTTTGTTTTTATTGTAACCAAGGTCTCAGGACAGTGTTATCTCAAACCATGATACTTTATCTTTAAATCTAGTATTTCTTTTTGCAATGCTGTATAACTAAATTAAGCTTTCTTTATAAGTAACTTGTGGCTCCTGTTACCTAAGTTCCGAACAGTGTTTTGAGGGGAAGGTGTACTAATATTTATAGCCAGGTACAATTCAGTAGAATTTGAGGTCACATACCATTGTCTAGATATGTTACAACTTAATAGAAATCCTTTGTACTCTTTTCAAAGGATCATAGGTGAGAGCCTTTAGTTTGGAAAACTTACTTGCACTACTTCATGCTCTCAACCATGTAGCCTGTGCATTGATGAGGAAGCGGAATTAGGAAACAACTATTCATTCAGTTCACTTTCATTTCCAGGCGTGAATGCTTTGACTGCAGAGGTCCCAGAAACAGTCCTGAAACTCACCTCTGGTCTAGGGGAAGTTGGGGAATACATCTTTGCTGTGTTTCCCTTTTATTTTTCCATTCTGCTCTTTTTTTGTTGGTTTTTTTTGTTGTTGTTGTTGTTGTTTTTAACTAAAAGCAAACCGAGTAGTTGGGCAGGGCTATTTTCCCTGCTGGAAGAGTGTGGGGGTGGGGGTGGCACTTCTCCTGGGAAGTTTGTGTTTTCTAGAATCCAGTGGGGGTTTGTTTGTTTAAGGCCAAGTAACTCAGAACTCACTTGATTCATAAACAATAGTTAGTGTGATTACCTTTTCTTTAATTACATTTTGAAGTGAGAATAAATTCCAAGTTAACTGCCAGTACTATAGCTTTTAATTTCCTGTTGCTGATGGCAACTATATGGTAGGCTTAAAATGCAGCATTTCCTAAAACATGGGGTTTTAGTTAGATTGCTGTAATAAGACTGCTGGCATGACTGACCGTCCATTAGAGACTCCTTTTTTATTTCCTGTGACAGGTGTAACAATTATCCCAGTGCTGCAAAGAACTCTTCATTATGAATGTATCGTTCTGGTGAAACAGTTCCGACCACCCATGGGAGGCTGCTGCCTAGAATTCCCTGCAGGTGAGTCGCTAACACAGGCAGTTGCTGCTTGGGACTGGTCTGAGCCAGGGCAAAGCCTAAGTACTGCAGAGTTTAGACATTTAACTCAGTTGTATCTGTCCATGGACTTCTAAGGTCAACAAAACGACTTCTGCGGTGAGGTGCATCCAGCCACACTCTTGTGATCTAGTCACCCATGGAGGCGGTGGAAGGCATAGTGTCACATCTCATCGTTCCACGCCACCTGCTCTTTCCCACATTCTTTCTAGCCTCTCTGAGTAATTGTTTTTCCCTAATTTGTTCATTTATTTCATCTTCTATCACTAGTGATCTACCTCTGACAAGAAATTTACAGTAATAACTAGGCCAGACTCCAAAAAACTATGAATGGAAAAGGTATCTTGACCTTCCCATGTGTATATAGGCCAAGGAAACTGTCTTAATTTCCACTAAAATATTTTTTCAGTTGCACAGTAAGTTAAGCTCTCTGTAACTTATGTAGTGTATTATTATAGGACTTAATTGGGTTGTTCCCATCAGAAGAGATTACATCTCATTTATCAGTAATGGTTTAAGTTTTGTATTTTTAAATACCATTCCATACAATAATGTATAATGAACTTTATTTTCTTTCTCATTTACTTGCCATTTCACTGAAGAAATTAATAACTTTAAAAGTAACTGAATAGCCTGTATTTCACCTCCCTTTTTACAATCTTCCGCTCCTTTCAGGAAAATGACTCAGAGCTGCTACTGTCCTCCTCCCACTTGGCCTCTCTCTCCTTACCCCTTATAGTGACCATGGTAGTTACCGAAAGTCCACCAGCCTGCAGCTGTCCTTTCTGCTCTTCTCCCTCAGAGGTGATCTTCGTCTCAGCATTTCACTACAGGGTCTCAATATTGTTCTGTGAGGGAGGAAGGCAAGATAGGTAACACTGTCTCTTACTTAAGAGGAAACAAAAAAATAGCAGGCTTCCTGGGCTGCGGTCACATCGCTAGGTCCGAAACCTGGACCGCTCCACCGCCCCCACGTCACTTGTCCTCACAGATGGGTACTGCCTATGCTGCATCTTAGTGCCAACACGTGAAAGCAGTCTAGGCCTAAGTAAGAGAACAGGTGTGAGAGCTGTCAGAACCAACTTAGTCGGCCCAGGGTTTCATTCTTTTGCCCTTTTCTTTCTTTCTGTGAAAGTTCCAAACCTCACTTTTATCTGCAAGACCACTTTTCACAAACCTGATTCTTCTCACATAGCTCAGCAGCAGCTATGTTAGGAGGAGAGGTTCAAAGAAAAGTGGATTTTCTCTCCCACCTCACAAATGACTTGGACTTCCAGGTCTCATAGATGATAACGAAAGCCCAGAAGCAGCTGCTCTGCGAGAGCTGGAGGAAGAAACTGGCTATAAAGGTGATGTTGCTGAATGTTCACCAGGTTTGTATTGCTTTCCAGGCATGCTCTTGGGGACAAACTTTTGAAAATTAGCCAAGAAGATTCTTCTGTGTTCAAGGATTGATTCTTTGGATGTTCTTTATGGTCAGAATTCAGATGGCTTTTATTTTGGCTAATTCACTGAAGAAAAATCAGTTAGATTTGGGCACCAGGTACATGTGAACTTCCCCTCCCCTCCAAATGAGAGCAAGTTTGAGCAGGAAAAACCTGAAGTTGGATAAGAAATTAGGAAATTGTGTTGCCTTCCAGAGTTTCTTACATTCTAAGCTTTATTACATACTTACCTCATCCACATGCCATGATCCTCTCTAAAAGATTTTTCTTAATGTGGTGGAATCCCTCAGGAAAAGTACTATTTATATGCTCTGTAGTCCTACAGCATATACCAAGTGACTGGAGAAAACTACTTTTCCTGCATAAATTCTATGTTAAAGGAATTATGAGCCGAGTCTTCTTCCAAAGACATTTAAGTCATGAAACTTGACTTCTGACTGGTGTCTGTAAAGATAACCTGCTGCTTCTCTCCCTAGCTGTCTGCATGGATCCAGGTGTGTCAAACTGTAGCACACACATCGTGACAGTAACTATTAATGGAGATGAGGCTGAAAATGTAAGACCTAAGCCAAAGCCAGGTACGTGAGCGTTGGCTATGTTTAATGTAGATGAATCACATTAAACATCTTTTAACTTCTCGTTACTAGTTTGATTTTTGATTGTAGATGCTTCATTAGTACTCTTGGCTCTTTCCATAATTTTGTGTATTTTAGCTTTTTTCTTTTACGATTAATTTGATTTTTATGGTTTTGTTATATAAAATGCTAAATTACACATTTCCTTATTTTTTTGCATGGAGTTTCTTCTCAGTAATATTAGCTATAAGACTAAATGTTAAAAAGTGAAGTCTTCAAAATCAGATTTGTCTTCATATTTATAAAGAATGGCATGCAAGTAATTGTTACAAGACAGTAGCTTATTAATTCTTCTCTACAGAGTTCCACATTTAGAAAAGCTTTTAGGAAAGTCTTTGCTCTGTATTTCCTAGCAAGTCAGTTCCATGTGCTTGCCCACCCCCTTAAAAGAGGTGTTGATGCACACACAAGAAATTGTGTGTGAGAGTGATAGTCTTCCATTTCTCATCCTCTAGTTGTTCCTAAATGTCTGGGTATCCCCTTGCAGCTGACTTTAAATGCTTGGGTTTTGGGGATTTCTTTCTTTCTTTCTTTTTTCTAAGGAGAGGAGAAGGGAAGGAAGGGAACAGGGGGAAGAGAAACACTGATTGGTTATCTTGTAAACATGCCCCATCTGGGGACTAAACCTGCAACCCACGCATGTGCCCTGACCAGGGATCGAACCAGCAACCTTTTCATTTGTGGGACCACGCCTAACCAACTGAGCCATACCAGCCAAAGCATTAAATGTTTGATTTTTAACTAGCAAATATACACATAATATGTTGTGGAAAGAGTCTGGGAGTTCCTGAGTTAAACATAGAATACCATGTGATCTGGCAATTACAGTCCTAGGTATATACCTAATTATACTCCTCAGAATCGAAAGCAGAGGGTCAAATACCTTGTACACTAGTGTGTATACAGTGTTACTCACAGTACCCAAAAGGTAGAAACAACCCAAATGCCCATTAAAAGATGAATGGATAACAAAATGTGGTATATTCATACCATGGAATCACATTCAGCCATGAAAGAATAAAATGTGTTGATACATGCTATAACTTGGATAAACCTTGAAAACGTTGTGCAAAGTGAAAGAAACCTCACAAGGGCAAATATTGTGTGGCTCTGTCAATATAAGATAAAGTCAGTGCATTAAGAGACAACAAGTAAGAGAGAGTCAACAGGGGTGGGGAAGTTAGTGTTTAATGGGTTTCAACTTTCCGTTTGGGATGATGAAAAAATTCCTGAAATGGATAGTGCTGATGATTGCACAACAATGTAAATCTACTTAATGCTACTGAATTATAACTTTTAAAATGGCTAAAATGGTAAATTTTGTGACCCGGGTTTCTGTTAAATTCTTATAGCCTTTTTTTAAAAGACCAGTAAGATCTGAGTTAGCACTCAGGCAGTTTGTGTAGATTGAGAAGTTAGGAAAAGAGGAAGATTCCTGGCCAAGGGAAGAAAGCAAAGGTGGAAGTGGGATAGCTGAGGTTTCCAGCACCGTAAGCAATCAGAAAATAGAAAATGTTCCCCTCCCTCCCTCTGAAGTTGACAGGCACCCACCCCACCTCCACCTTCCATTTTGTCCAGGGACCACTACTGTCAGATTTGGCCAGCAAGGAAGGCAGGAGCAGCCTGCCAGGGCAACAGGAGCACGCTTCTGCATTTCCGCCCCCCGGCCACTGGAGGGAGCCACAGCAACCACTGGCAGGCACTCAGCAGGAAAGACTTCATCCTGCTCCCTCTGTCCCTGATGCCCTTTTCAGTTTCCTCTCAGTCCCACTCCTCTAGCTCCCAGGCCAAACAGAAAGTACATGAGTTGGTGCTTCTGAGCACCTATGTAGCCTTTTTGATATGTCTCACACAAAAGTCGTCCAATGTTTTACCATTCCACGCCTTGCTAAAATGTGTTCCTTCTATTTGCAGGAGACGGAGGTATGTTACTCAACTCCCAGTGGCTGACCAGTATATGGCTTAATGTAGTGGTAATGGCTACAGGCATTTTGTGTTGTTCTGGTAGGCTCTCCCCCACTTCCTTAGCTTTGTTTTCACTTGCAGTTTGTTTGTTTAGAATTTGTGGAAGTAATTTCCTTACCAAAGAATGACCTGATGAAGAGACTTGAAGGTAAGCATTCTTGAATTATTGTCCAACTTTCTCTAGTTTTCCCTTCCCTGTCCCCAGCAGAGGGGAACTAAATATAATTTTTTTTTATTTTCTCCTTAAAAGTCAAATACCTAGAAACTTATTAAAACTGCCGTTGACCAATAATAATTTTCCTTTCTGGGTGGCATAGTTTGAAAAGGTGAGCAAAACATTCCATGGCAGGAATGCAATCAGCAGAGGCCTTTTCTCTCCTAAAGAACAGTCAAGATTATAACCCCACTGATTAGCCCAAATTGTGCATGATATAAGTTAGAAGGACTATTATTCAGTTCCCCTTTAAGTGCAAAGTGCTGATATAATGACCCATATTAACCATCTAGCAGTGTGACCCTTAGTAAATTACTGGTCATGTACATTGTGTAATTCTTGGCCAGCCCATCTCTTAGGGATTTTGTTTAAAAAAAAAAAAAAGAAAGAAAGAAAGTCAGTCAGGTTATGTGGACAGATATCCTTTGATATAACTACATTAGGATGTACTGAAAACATGACAGAGGTCTTTCGTGAAGCTGGGTAGATGCCTATTCACTAATTCAATTTTTATTTCAAAAATTTGAAGCACTGTTTGGCCCTACGTTTTGAGAGCAGTTCCTTTCTTGCCCCTTTCAGCACTAATGGCTTACAGTTTTATTTCTAATGTCTGTGCTGTTTGTTTGAAAAGTAAAGTGGATCTTTCAAAAACTGCTGTGATTTCAGATTCCCAAAGTTTCCCTTCCTAGTTTTTCCTACTTTGCTGTTTTAAAAACTAGACCTAGGTCTAGTTCTAAAAACCACCTCCAGAGTCGAAGTTTGAAATACTCATACTGAAAAGACTCAATAATTTATTAAAAATTTTTTACTCCTCACCCTAGGATATTTTTATTGAATTTAGAGAGACAGAAAGGGAGGGGGGAGAGAAATATCAATGTAAGAGAGAAATATCAGTCAGTTGCCTCCCATATAAGCCCCAACCAGGGATTGAACCTGCATCCTTTTGATATATGAGATGATGCTCCAACCAACTTAGCCATCCAGCCAGAACTCAATAATTTATTAGGTATTTATTCAGATGAAGCTGTGGCCATCAATTATAGGTAAGATTTAACTTTGAGCCAGACAGATGACTGGATTTGAGACTCAGCTGACCATGACTTATGACTTCAAACAAGTTTCATAGCCTTTCAAGTTTTTCGCATAGAACAGGAACAACAGCCCCTATGTTTGAGGAGGCATGAGTAAAAGTAAATGGGATAATGTTGACACACAATGCTTAAATGTTACATGCTCTTTTTATTATTTTTTTTATATTAGAAAATTATTTTTAAAATTCCTCCCTTTTCCCTTCTGGCCGTAGAAGAGGGGGAACGAGAGAGTGAGAAAGAGAAGGAAGGTAGAAAGTGTTATGTAGAGGGGAGGAGCAAAAGAGCCAATTTTCTTAGCTTTACTAGAATCGAAATACAGTAATCAAGTAATTTATGCAACAAATCACATTTGAGAAGTAGGATTTTTGAGTTCAGTTTGTTACAGGGAATGCACCTGCAGGCAGAATAGGACATACCCTGCCTCTGAGTATTAAAATATCTCAGCTTGTTCTAAACAAGTGGTTAGGAAAATGAGTGACAGGTTTGAAATCTGATAACCTCCATCTGAGTGAAACATAAGTTCTCATTAAAACCCTCTGTAATAAGATTCTGAGATCTCAGTCTCGATAGAATTCTAATCCTGTCCCGCATGCAGTTAATTTGCATGTGCAAAATATGTATCCCCTAGCAGTGGGGATGTCCTCAGTAAGCTACTTAGTGATCATCACTATAGAGCTTCCTAGTAGCCAAGTCTGATAGTGAGCTATAAATGAACACATGGATCTGTAATGCTTTGCTATTTTAACACATAAAATCATCATCTCTAATAATATGTGCTCTTCTGTCTTTATTCTTAATTTTTTGTTTTCTTGTCTCAAGCCATAAACCCTGATTTTTTATATCCTTTATTCTTCCACTACAGTAAGATCTTTGAAGGCAGAAAATGTCTTGTTCACCATTGTACCGCCAGCATCTAGCATGGGGACTGGCATAGGAAAGCTGCTCAGTAAATATTGACTGAATGATGAGGGGTATTATCTTCTATAAACTTAACTGTCTAATTTGTATCCTTTGCTTCCTGTAGCTCTGGTAACTGAAGAACACCTGACAGTGGATTCTAGGGTATATTCCTATGCTCTGGCGCTGAAACATGCAAACACAAAGCCATTTGAAGTGCCCTTCCTGAAATTTTAAGGCCAGAGGAGCATAGCCATGTTCTTGTAAATGAGGCCACAAGGCTTCCTTCACTAAGACTTTGTATTCACCTAAATTTAATGGAGATTTGAAAGTACCTTTTTCATAAAATAAAAATAACAGAATGCACGTGGTGGTATGGAATTGTAATTATAGGTAGGCTATAGCCTTCATTGAAATGCTAAATCCAGCTAATAATGGAGAAGAACATAAATGCAGATATGCTTATTCCATTTTTTTAAACCTCAGCTACTATCTACTCTAGTCCAGGAGATAGGGGTATTACTATAGAAAAGACCTGAATTGTAAATTAGCTCAATTATTCCCACCCTGGACCCCCAACATAAAATTCTGTAGCTGAGTATGCAAATAACGATTTACTGCATTAGTGTTTAAACAGTTTTAAAACAAACATACATACATATATTTTATATATATATATTATATATAACATATATATATAATATATATTTATTTATTTTCTTGGACCTTTCTAATTGAATTATGTTATATGGAATTAATCTGCATAGCAGAGGATGAGAGTAACATTCATGATAAGAAAATGCTTACATTTAGCTGTTGTCATTATACCCACCTAATACTGAAGGTAAACCAGCTCTTACATAATGAAAAATGTCTGATACCATTCACTGTAGCAAGGCTAAGAGGCTAATGAAAATATAGGACTCTTCCCTCTAAAGCATGTGGACATACTTTAGAATGTCAATTCCTAGCCTTACCTCAAAAAGTACTTAACAAATCAAATCCATGGCAGTAAGACTTACATGGTTTGGGGCATCACTGTCTTGGAGTTCAATCCTGAGTGTAGTCAGCAAGGTTGGCAAGTACCAGAAACACAGTCAGCACAAACTGCTTTAAAGGAAAAACTGTGATTATTTCTGGCTTATGCCATGCCTAAAGCCTGTCGCCCAAAACATCTACAAGGGTTACTGGGCCGTCATCTTACCTCTTAGCTGAGCTGGAATCTTGGGTTGACTTTTATGGCCTCCGACAACTCCAGGGTCATTACTTAGCCCCCATTCAGCTTAGTGCCCAGCAGAAGTCTCAGGATGATTGTCGTTGGCCAGCCCTATCATGATTCGAGCCCTCGACCCAGGGGTTGGCCAGACCCTCAGAACCAGAAACAGCCAGGATATTGATGCCAAAAACACTGCAACTCATTTCATTTGTCTACAGATTCGCTGACTTTTCCAGAGATATTTTTAAGCATAAATGTAAGATCTGTATAGTGCACTTCTTTAAGATGGAAAGAATTCTGGGAACCAGAGAACTATATAAATCAAGTCTACTCTGCTTATATATATTGTGAAAATTAAGCCCCAACTACTTGCTCTAATAGTAGCCTACCCTTGTGCCCGTAACCCCTTTTTAAAAATCCTCACTTTTAAACGTGGGCATCATAATTCTCCAGAGATCTTGATCCTGTTCCCTGAGCTCTCAAGGACCAAGTCTTCTAATTTCCCTTACTTACTACATCCCTCTTTCAAAATTAAGAAATAAGGCATATATAAAATACACAGACTCTAGCATAGACCTGCCTCTCCAAACAGACCAGCTCTTCCTAAGTCACTCCCTATGAGAACTGAAAAATGTACTCTCAACTGTTGACAGACGTTCGTAACACCTATCTGTCCTTTCTTAATCTTACTCCTCCTAAGAGTGCAAGGTAGAAGTGATAGCTAAATCCTAGCACATACTCTTAATGCCATTTATGTTACCTATAAACATCAAAGGCTATGCTTTGGAAATTAAGTCAATTTAAGAACTTGAAGTCTGGACGTTTTCATCAGCTGGCACTGTTAATTTCAGAATTTAAAAGTTAAAGGTTTCCTACAAAAGCCGTATTTTTTACCCTCTCTTGAAAAACAATCAGATATAATAACACTAAGTCTCTGTTTCTATGGTAACAATGTCTGCAGCTCTTTGGAGATGTTCACCAGTTGACCATCCCTGCTGTCTGACCTGCTTTTACTTCCTGTGCCTTGCCCCTGTAGTTGTTTGGCTTTGTGATCCTAAGCTAAATAAGATGTACTTCCTGCACTTACTGAGAAGGTAAACAATGATGGAAAACAAACTGCTGAAGAGGAGGTCTTTCAAAAATTAAGTCTGATCTCTTTTTGGACAATACAGCACATACTTTAAAAGTGAATTACTGATAAAGAACGGCTATTTCAAATGGGGGTGGGGGGCTGGGATATCATTTGAGATCACTGTTTTCCTGTTTCCAAATGTCAGTGACATAACTAACTGAGCAACCTTAAGTTGGTCACCATCCCTCAACATTTTAGGAGTAAATACTGAACTAATTACATTTAACTTCTTGCAACAGGCATCTCAGGATGGATTTTGTATGAATACAGTGAACCTATACAAAGCATTTAATATCAGACTTTTTTTATTTTTCCAACACAACTGAAACAGTTGTATTAAATAAAAGTTTATAGTCTACTGTTTACACTCATGTTGCTGCTATAAAGTACAACAACGTACACAGATTCCTAGCATGAATTACTCACTGTTCACCCCCACTGAACTACAAACATTGCTTGAGAATTAGATCTTTTAGGGATTTGGGGCGGGGGGGGGATCAAAAAAACAAAAAACTGGGGCATAGTATTTTGAAAGAGCATTCTCAAGTGACTTGGAATTCAAAGGCATAGCCAATACAGTAAAAACAGCACCAACTGTGCTGTCCTTGGGAACAAAGAGGAATGGAAAACAGGGACAATAATTATAAGCAGTTTTTCTAGTGACAGAAGCTTTAAGAAGCTTGATTTTGCCCATCTGGGCTAAGTGGCTTTTTGAGAAGGGACAAATAAAAGGGAGGGATGGAGAGGGAGGGTTGGAACAAGGATACTATGAATTTTAAAAGTATAAAAATTAATTATATCTAAAACATAGATTAGATATAAATGTTCCAGAATTCATTAAATAAGCCCAAAATACTGGAAAGTGGCGATCCGAACTACATTTATTTTTAAACAAGTGGGGGGACTACTGAGTGTTTTCAATGTTGTGTGCAAAACTGATCCATGTCACCTCACCGTCACAACTGAACACGGTAAGGCAGGTACATTGGTTTCCAGCATCACAGGCAACACTACATGTATATTTTCTAACGAATAATGTAAACTTCAGTGTTAAGGCAGCTGGTACTAATGCTGCACACAGGCTTAGCTTGGTGCCCATTTCAGAAATGGGACAGTTAGCACTTGAAAAAAAATGAGGGGGGAAAAAGGGGAGCCAGCATTATTTGACAAAAACGGTGTGTCAAAATGTTTTCCCTTCACACAAAAAAGTATTGAACATTTAGAAAAACAAAGCACCCATCCCACCTACTTCAGCCTGTTCCTTAACAAATATTTCAAAATACTGATAGATAATAGTGACTGCAAGCAGAATTCCAGTGCCAGAGCCAATGGCCCCTAGGAAGTCGGCCAACACTGACAGGGCGCCAATGCACAAACCGCCGAATGCAGCTGCGGTGGGGATATACCTAGAAGACAAAACCAAGTCAGGCAGCAGAGGGAAGTGAAAAAGGGCAACAAAAGCAGTAACATGTTGAAATGTAATTAATCTAATCCGACAGGGAACAGTCTGCAGTACTGGGTTATCCACAGTGGTTACATGTTGATGAAAACTGACTAAGGGAATGAATCCCTAATTATGAGACCCATATATAGTCAAGAAAGGCAATACATGATTTTGATAGCAAATTAGAATCTTCAATTAGATTTAAGTACTAAAAATGTTTAATATCATCTTAAAATGGGTGATTTAGCTCCTTTTTCTAGATAAACAGTACATTTCAAAGTGATTTCAAGAGGTGGATAATACTCTTCCAACAGTAACTCAGCCTTGGCTGCATGTTAGGATTACCCATTAAATAAAATGGAATTGTATTTAAAATACTCCAGGAAAAAAAGAAAAAAAGAAGGAGATGGTAAGTGAAACAAGAATGACAGAATAACTACTGAAGATGGATATACTTAGGTACATGCAGATTAATTATACTATTCTCTGAAATCTATGTGCTCAATTAATAAAGTTCAAATAAAAATACTAATGCCTTTTCAACAAATTATGGAACAGTTGGATATCCACATGCAAAAGAAGGACTCTAAACCCCTATCTTACACCAAACACAAAAATTAGCTCAAAGTGGATCACAGACTGAAGCATAAGAGCTGAGACTCCTAAGAGAAAAATGAATAAATCCTGTGGCCTCAGGTTAGGCAGTGGTTTCTTAGATACAACACCAAATGCAGCACAAAGCATCCAAAGACAAAACAGATATTGAACTTCACCAAAATCAAAAACTTGTACAGCAAAGGGCATCATCCAGAAGGTGAAAAGATAATCCAGAGAATGAGACAAAGTACTTGCAAATAACATACTTGACAAGAGACATCAAAATATTTTTTTAAACAATCTTACAACTCAATAACAAAGACAACCCAATTAAAAATGGGCAAATGATTTAAATAGACATTCCTCCAAAGACAATACACAAATAAATAGTGGACAAGGATATGAAAAGATGCTCAACATCATTACTCATCAAGGAAAAGCAAACCAAAACCACAATGAGGTATCACTTCATACCCACTAAGTGGCTACATAATAATCAAAAGCAAAAACTAGTTAGCGCTGGAGAGGACGTGTGGTAATTGGAACCTTCATACATGCAGAGCCACTGGAAGATAATTTGGCAGTAATTCAACATGTTAAACACATGACATGACCTGACAATTCCACTCCTAAAGAAATGAAAATATGTCCATATAAACTTTCAAGTATATTCATAACAACACTATTCATGATGGCCAAAAAGCAGAAACAACTCAAATTTCTATCAACTGATGAATGAATAAACAAAATGGTATTATCCTTACAATGGAGTATTATTCACAGATAATGGATGAACTCTGAAAACACTATGCTAAAAAAGCTATTCACAAAAGACCACATATTACATGATTCCATATGTATGAAATGTCCAGTATAGGCAAATCTATAGAGAAAGAAGGTAAAAAGTTGTTGCCTGGGGTTGTGGGGATGGAAGAGGGGTAGGAATGGAAAAGAATGCGTACAAGGTTTCTTTGTGAGTGGTGAAAATCTTTTTAAAATTAGAG